GAATAACTGGGGAGAAATTTCAAGGAAGTATTTTAAGAAAGACTGAAGCATTTTCATGTTGTGTCTTGCTCAAGCTTTTGTGAAGACAGTTTTAGGCTCATTTGACTTCTGGCATTCATTAAGCATCTCTGTGCTGGAGCAGTAACCTATGAAGTCTTCTTGACTTCTATATTTGACACTCCTGGCAAGAGTGACAAAATGTACTAGCCAAATAATTAGCTCCCATGGCAAGTCACTGAAGAGATGGAAAAACACTGCAAGAGATTATAATACCTTTCAGGACAGTCATCATGTTCACAGATCTTAAAAAATTGCAAAAAGTCTGCTTTTTAAAAAGGAAAAAAATCTATAAAAGAGGTATTGAAAACTACTACTTGCGACAATATATATTACATAATCTGATGTGTGCCTGTGAAGATAACTGGCATGTAAAATACTCTTGCCAAGTACTGCCTTTTTTGAGATCAATCCAGGAAAATAGATCACAGACTTTGCTGAAAGAAGCCTTGCTTTCTTCTGGTGAATTTCAGTAGTATTTATTGCTACTGCAATGGGTTTTGCTTAACATTTTGATGCATAAGCAGCAGTATCTCTTTATTCAGGGAAATTTAAGTTTTAAAATGGAGTTTGGCGAGTTTACTAAAAAGATTGTTACATGTTTGCCTGCAATAGAGAGATTAAAGCTAAAAGAGTTTCTTAACAGTCCGGTGTTCTTAAGAATCTGGGAGAAAAGTTAATCATTTACAGTAGGCAGCAAGGGCTTTAGCTGTGCCTCAGGGTCACTGAAGTGTATGACCTGTGTACGTTCTGCTGTGACCTCCTGCTCCAGGCTCCCCAAGCGGGAGCAGCTGCGCTCCCCCAGCACCAAGTCCTCCCACAAAGAGGAGAAGCTGCTCAGCTGTTGCATGAGCACGGGCCAAGAAGCAGCCCCAGGGTTGTAAGACTGGGGAAGAGCATTGACATGGCCACAACAAGAGGGCTGAGAGAAAACTTACACACCCAAAGGTCCAAGGAGAGGGATCCCAGGCTAGCAATAGAGCAGGCAGCAGCTTTATGTTCCTCCTTGCTCAGCACTGTCTGCTGTCCCGACCTCTGTTTTAGCAAACCTGTGCCTACCATGAGGCTGGGCCTGTGTCTTTCTCTGTCCCTTTTCAATCTTCAGCTGTTCTGGCAAGCAAAGTTCAATGCATCTATAGTATTCTCCCATCCCACGTATCATCTTCCCTACATACTTTTCATGCTTTCTGTATGTTGTCACTAATGGCCTAATTAACTCCTTTTGGTAACTATGCAAGTTAATGAATTTCCTGACCTCTACGCAATTGGTCTTTCTAGAAGAAAAGCCCTTTCTCCACACAGGAGATTCTCTGCAGCTCATAAGGTTGGGCTTTTCAATCTAGTGTTGGTGGGGATGCTGTTACAACAACACTACTGGAGTCAGCAATGAATTTTGCCTTCACAGGAAAAGAGGGCTTTCAGGTTGGGGTTTTTTGGTTGTGTGTTTTATATAAATATATATATACACAGAGAGAGGCTTAGCCAGCCCATTGTGGAATTTTACTGGAGAGAGCAGTAGGTAGTTTTTCCAGGCAGGGGAGTAGCCCATTAGTGTGGTGGCAGGGCTGTGGGATTCCTTCAGCCACTGGTGCTGCCAAACACTTTTCTAGCTTCACATCAGGCCTTAATTCTTCCCTATTCCTGCTTCCCCTGCCTGCTCCTTGGCTTTTTTTTATTGAACAGTTAGAGGTTAAAAACTGCAGTGCAATCCATACTGCAGGATTCTGCAACAACATGGCCATTTTGCTGTAAAAACATGTTTTCCTGTTCTTAAATTAATTCATAAACAACATAAATTATGTCTTTTAATGTATATCTGGCATTCTGTTTGACTTTTTGTGTTTGCTTAGCATAGGTGCTGCAAATCAGGTAAGAAAAATAACGGTACTACAGAGTGGATTTCTTCATTGGAACTGAATAAGATTTTCATAACATTGAGAATGGATGAACATTTTTACAGGAATCAGTTATATCTAGTTCTAAGTTAAACCCTTGAAAGATGGGTGAAATATGGCATGTCACAGATATTTCTTTAAAATAAATCCTGCCTTTATTTCTTTTTATAGAGGTGGAAACTGTTCAATAGGACACAAAGGAAAAATGAGGAAAGGGTAAGGGACTGTAATTTGTATAGTTTTAGAAAGTAACTAGAGGGGGATAACTGATAATTCTGTGCAACGAAGTGATAAAAGACAAGGAAGATTTATTCAAGGTTGCACAAGGATGTTTTATAAGCTGCTAATAGTCTTACACTGAAAAAGGGGACATTGAGATTAGATTTAATGAGAAACTTTCCAACAGTGGAGCAGTCTGTCAAAATGGTTATTGAAGTACGATCACAAGCATTCAGGAAGAGATAAGATAAAACTCTCAAGGGAGCAGTTAGTGCAGAGATTAGCTAGACCTGATCAAAATCATAGCCCTGGTCATTCTCTTGGGATTTGAGTTTTTAAAAAATAATGTAATGCTTTGGTTCATGCCATCTTCTCAGTCCATATCCTTACAAGTTGTTGTCTTCTTTCAAGCCTCTCCAACAAGAAAGGGCATAAAAATATTGTTCCTGCTCACTCTTACTGGCTAGAAGAGAAATGATGAACCTGATATTTCTTGTACTGTGAGAGCTAATTAAGAAACTCAAGGTGAATGTATGGGAGTTTGAAATGACTTAATTCTTCCTCTGTCTGGGAAGTACCAACTGGGCTATCTGACACTGCAATTTCCTGATGCATAATGACAGATACTGCAAATACTGGGGATCCTGGTTCCAGGTATGCCACTTTTTATTAGCTAGGAGAAGATGTAACTGCACAGGTTCTTGGGATTAAATTCACTAATATGCTAGAGGTCTTCTGGTCCTGATTTCAGTCATTCTGCATACTACAACAATAGCCCAAGTTGTTGAATTTGGTCTTGCTGTGCTATTTTTAAAACAAGTTCATGTCTTTTGATGGGAACAGTTAAAATTAAACTAGAGAAGAGGAACTAGAAAATGTTGCTGACCATATTTGTCTACATTAATAGGGGGACAAAGGTTACATTTCAGAATAATCTTTGCTTTTTTGTGGTCCAAGAGAGTCCAAAAGCTTTTCCGAGCAGGTTTAGCCTTGCTTTGATTTATGGCTAGCTACTTAGTCCTCAAGAGGCTGTTCTCTCAGGAGGGGATTGGTAGGCTTGAGGGATGCTGTGGTTATGTACAGTTTCTCTTGACCATATCGCTCACAAGGTTTGTTGGGAAAGAGCAGCACAGCACATATGTGAGGATTGCCTTGCCGAGTCTTCAAGAGGGAAGTGGAGCCAGCTTCTGAGCTGCCATGGTGGGCTTAGCAATTCATCCCTCTCCTCAGACTGCTGTGGGAAAGTCAATAGAGCTGTTGTCAAGAGAGAGGGAGATAAAAAGTGCTCCATCTGAACAGCAACAATGCCATTGGAAAGACAGGATAGGCAACTGGGTTTACATTTACCAAGGAAAGAAATAAGCATCACAAGATAAAAGGCAGATGAGAATGAGGATGGTGAATGGAGTTAGCTTATACAAGAGAACTGTTTGATTGGAAAGGTTAATTGGACCTTAAGACAATGTATCCAGCAAATTCTATTTAGATACTTTGGTTGTAGGTAGCTTGGAAATTCGTTAGAAATTGCGGTGATAGATGATTTAAAAGTCCTAGGCTAGGTACTGTTGCAGCCTTTATTATGGGAATTCAAGGCTAGATTAGATAACATTTTGGAGAGGAGTGATCTAGAGGTCGCATTTGTTACAGGGACTGGAATTGCTCTGACTTTTCCCACAAGACATTTCAAGGCAATTGTTTTTCAGGCATCATTTCCTATAGCTTCAGCAGAGGTAGCCTCTGGTCATTTAAAAAAAAGCTGCTTTTTGTTTCATACTACCAAGGTCCAGCAGATACTGTAGTAAGGATGTATATATAGAAGCTCATTGAATGCTTCTTTAAATTAGTGCAGTTGGTTGGCTTTCAGGAAATAAAAAGCGGAGGAGAAACCAAAGCTATGTTGTTTTTTTCTGAACAGATGTTGTACTAATTATGTGCATAATTTTAACATTTAATTGAGGAAAAGACTCCTTATACTTAGATTATCAGAAACTGTCTAGAATTTGCAGTCAGTGATACTAGAGTTCATTGCAAGTCTTTTGAAATTCAGAATACATGTGCGATTTGTATACTAACATTTACTTGCATCTTAAGCATGGTTTAAAAGCTGTTAAAATACTAAAACTCAAGCTATGCATACAACATTCTTTTACCATGTTTGCTTTATGATACAATCTTTAATGCATAACTGCACACCAGTATAAGCCAAAACCCAACCCAGTTTATGGCTATGTTTTGGTACAAAACATTTCACACTGTTCAGATTCTATCTTCCTCTACATGTGCCTACGTGTATTCTCTCTTTGTCTTTCAGAGGCAATAAAAAGAGATGGAAGATGGATGGAATACATTTATATTGATACAATTAGGTGAAATGAAAGGCGTAATGTGTTTGGTTTGTTTTATTTGATGCACATATCTCTATCCTTCAGAACCTGAGGTTGCAACATTTTGTTTTTTCTAACCATTCCAGTAACCTAAGGCCTTACTTTGAGGGGATGTACTACACAGAATTGGAGGGTGGAAGGTTGCTACAAACTAAGTGCTTAAGTTTGGAATTGTTTCTTTTTAAATGGTCTTCTCTCTGTACAGCTAAACACATGACTAAGAGCAGCATTTATTTCCTGACAGTAGATTACTTCTGCTCTGGATCTTTTCTCATCTTAGGTCTCTTGCAGGGCTAAGCTAATATTGAAGCAGCACTATGTAGCAAAACACTAGGCACTTTAATGATGTCTCCATTTACTGATCCTAGCAAAATAATTATGTTGGTTTTTTTTTTTTTTCATGTATAGAGGGCTTTTCTTCAGTAAACCTTTTTCTTTCCTTTTACAGATTTCAAGCATGTGTTTATTTTGCATCTGTGTTTCAAGCTATGTCATGTGGTATCCATTACTTAGCGTCTGTGTTCATGGCTGTTACTCCTAACTTTGTATGTGGGATCCCTGGAAATGTGAGTAGTGTTCTTTTCTACAACTCCTCTGAATCAAGTATAGAGGACACCTGGACACTGTGGACATCAACAGAAAATTACATTGTAGTCCAGCTGCAAAATGGAGACATTTGGGAACTTAACCAATGCAGCAGGTCCAAACGAGAAGTCAGTTTGGATCTGGCATATGAATACAAAGGCAACAAGTCCGTATTTTCTTGTTCTGATGGATTTCTTTATGATGATACAAAGTGGAAGAGCACTGTTGTTACGCAGTGGGATCTGGTCTGTGACCGAGAATGGCTTGCAAAATTAATCCAGCCTACATTCATGCTTGGAGTCTTGATTGGAGCGGTGATTTTTGGTGACATTGCTGACAGGTAAAGTGCCATCCTCTGAAAATTGTAGCTTCAGACTGCAGTAACACCACGCATATCTACCTATTTTTTTGTTTTCATTCATTGTGTATTCATAATTATGTATTCACAATTCAGGAGGTTTGGATATTGTTTTATGCACAGAGGTGTTTAACTCAACTTCTTCTTCCGATAGCAAGTACTAATTTTAAAAGGTATTAGCAAATCATTTGCTTTTAGAATTTTTTTCCTACTTTATATCAGCCATTGTTCTAGGCCTTGATCCCTCAAATTGTCTTACGCAGCTAGTATTTGCCCCTAGATTTTTTTTTTTTTTTTTTTTTTAACAGGAATAGCAATGGTTAGTAGTAATAGCAATGGTAAAACCCGGGAGCAGATTTTCACCTCATTTTCCATGAGGAGAGATTCCTCATGGAAACATATATTTTTATTTCTGGGTATGATGAACAGCTGAAGGGCTACTGGAAGGTTAAAAACCATGTATTTTAAAATCACAGATTTCCTAACCTCTGTCATGAATACAGCTCTGTAGGGCTGATGCAAAGGCTTTGAGGGTTTGCTCAGGCCCCATGTTCTTAAAATAAACACCCATACACTATTTTTCTTTGCTGTCCAATTGTAGTTTTTCCCTGAGTGGTTAGCTTAAACTTCAGTCTCTTGAAGGTTAGTCCAGATAGGAGGAAAAATGGTTGTTATTGAGCTGTCCTGCAGTTTCATTTATTTACCAGCACGTACAAAATTCTATTTGAGTATGAGGAGAATCAGTCTGTGGAGGGACTCGACCCGAGCAGTCCCGTGCTCATGGTGCCAAGGCGGTCCTTCAGCCCATTCCCCTCGGACACTTCCTCCCTGGATGTTATCTCAGACCATGCACTGAGATCCAGCATCAGAGCTGGACTCAGAAGCAATAGCGAGATCCAGGATATACGTCTGTATCCTCCTGCTTCTCTTGGTTTTCTCTCTCAACACAAACACATGTATTCCTACCTCAGAAGAATATCCAGCTGTGCCTGCCCCTCTATCCATGTAAGAGTCAAACGCCTAAGCTACGTTATACTTGGTTTTGTCTCAGGCGGTTTATGTACCCGTGTTTTGCTTTGAAGACTGGTTTAGTGTTATTTGTCTCTTTCTATAAAGGAGCTTGTTGACTAACAGCTCTGTTAGGTGGAGGGTGACTTTTTAATCCCACAGCTAACAGTATAAGCAGAAAAAGGAGACCAGGCGTGTTGTTTTCTGATTTCTCCTTCATTAGCACAACACTACAGTGTGACAGTTAACAACATGGGAATGCAAAAGTAAAGATGATCTTTCTTTCATTTGGCTTTTAGAACACATGGAATCAATCCTGCCTCCCGATCCAAGGCTTTGTAAAACCGCATTTAATACAAAACCAGAATATAATGCCAACATTTGTTCTGCATCCCTTGAAATCATTCACAGCTTTATTAATTAATACTCAGACATGATTTATAAGTTTATGATCATATTGTTCTCATTTCCATTAATTCAAGCCATGGACAACCAGTTAAGATAATACACACATTCTGAGTTGCAGATTTACAACTGTAGATTTTACAGCTGAAAGTTATTATTTTTTGACACATCCTGGCTGGTGGGAAATAAGTTTATGGGTTCGTCCCATTCCCAATTAACAGATTTCCCAACAGAAGAGCTCCAACAGCTAGGACTCACTGGGATCTTTTCTGGCAGGGATTAGAGACCAAATGTGCATGACTCCAGGTCAAGGTTGGAGAAAAATAGGAGTTGTTTTAATGTAGTGCCAAATACTCATGGAGAAAAACCGACAAATGAGCTCACACCCCTGAAAGTCCTCAGACTCTCTGTCTAAACATAATATCCACCTCTGTGAAAAGCTGTTCGCAGTGGAGTAGATTGTAAGAGTCCAAGAGAATATTATCAGGGAAGAAAAACGGTTCCATGCATTTTGTATTACAGAACATTTGTAGATAGAGTATAATGAATCCTCAATAGAGTCTTGAATACCTACTGCAGATTTCTAGGTTTTCTCCTCCGATGAGATTTTTATTGATAGCATGTGCTCACTGGTTTAGGGACAACTGGTTCTACTTGGTATATTTGCTCCCTGAGATACGGGAAGAAGATAAACAAACAGAAGTTTCTTTTTACTAAATGCCCTTCTTTCACACTGGAAATTACTCTGTTGTTGATGGGAAGCTAGTATTTGACATGGGTTTTTTTGCTGTTAGTATACTAGCTTCCTGGATTTGTTTGTATATGTTTGTATATGCATGCACGTGTGCTGTGATACAATCAGAAAATTCAGGGGAACTATATAATTGTCATTTATTAGAGAATTCAACTTTAAATAACTGGACAAAGATATGTTACAGAAGCCTTTCATTACTATCCAGATTGGTTGTTACTTTGGCAAGAGATGACGTGTTATCACAGCTAACTTTTGTTAGAAATTATTAATTAGACATAACTTGATATAAAATACCTGAAAAAGCGAGTCTTACCTACTGTCCTCATAAATAAAACAGAGTAAATTTGCATATTAGTTATGTAGAAGTTAAACTTGAAACTGGAGGTGAGCATATGTAATGCCCACTTCTGCGTGTTGTTTCCAGCCAAGAATTGTGGAAGTTCTGTCCATAGCAGCTTCCTTTTTCTTGGAAGTTGGAATTACTGAAAAATAAATACAGGTAACTAAACCAGAGTTTCTGTGGTGAGTGAAAGTACTAAGTACAGTATTTTCAGACTCACTTCCAGGTAGGCTTTCTGGAGTTGCAGGTGTATTTTAATAGAATGTTTATGGTTATTCATAATTTTATTACTGCTGTGATTTGCAGACTGGGAAGACAGCGTGTTATGTGGTTCACAAGTGCTGGTCAGTTTGTATTTGGCATCGCAGTGGCCTTCACGTTTGACTACTACAGTTTCGTGATTGTGCGCTTTCTCCTTGCTATGGTAAGAAAGGATGTTCACCCTGGCTCTTTTCATGTGTCATTTCCTACCCCTTCTCAGGAAAACCTCCCTTTTGTTATAATTTCCTCCCCTACTTCATTATTCTAAAGCCCCCTCTGTTGCACTTATTTCAGCAGAGCAGGGAGAGTCTGAATGTTCTTGGACCACAGCACTTTTCCTCTTTGAATTAATAGAAAGCGTCTGTATGAAGCAATATTTGGTACTTCCTCCATCCCAACCTCTGCTGGACTGGTAATTAGATACCAAGTGTGAGCAGCGAACTCTGGATTCTGCATTGCAGCTGCCATTGTATTTCTCCTTGTTGTTGGAAATTGAGTATATTTTTCTTAAAATAACAAATCTATAACAAGTATGATTTTTATCTCTACCATTTTGAGTGATGGAGGAGAGATGCATATTTTCTCTTCCATGCATCTCTTTGGTCTTTTAAGCTACATCTGGAATACTAAATACATAGGTAGACATGTTTAACACCTAGATGTGTATACTGTACTTAAGGGTATTCTATTATATGTGTTTATGCGTATCTATACATATACTTTTATATATTTATGCTATATATCCAATACCTGATATATATTCAATCTTTATACATAGTAACCAATTTTAAATTGCTATTTTACATCCAAAAGTATAATATTCGTAGTCTTTCACTATATAATGCATAAAGAAATTAGAATGCTATCACAAGAAAAATTATGTAACTTGAAGTAGGTTAGATATTTGAAAATAACGATATAATTTACTTTATTCAGCATTAGTCAAGACAGGACCTTGCACCTGGACTTCCCTTTGCCTGATTAGAGCTCAGAAGGATTCCCTAGCAGGAAAAACGGCATGGGCATTTCAGCCTTGAGGAGTGAGATCAACAGGAGTCTCTCTACTGACTCTCTTGGCTGTTGATGTTTAGAAATGATGGCTGTGGTAGCTTAGAAACCCAAAAAGCTGTGACTAGACCAAAGCTGTAGGTTTTAACTGCCCACTGGGACTGATTTGCGAGATGGAGGTCTAAAGCTCTAGGCCTGTGCCACTGAGATCAGCACAGCTTTCCTATCAGGGTCAGCGGGTTCAGAATCAGAGTTTATTAACTGGAATATTTTTAACCAGAAAATTGATTAATCATAGAATCATAGAATCATTTATGTTGGAAAAGACCT